CCTATAGTTTAGTAGATTTTTAAATATATGAAGAAAAGTTTGCAACATAAATATGTTGAATTTGGTAACAGCACTATTTAGTTCCATATAAATAATCTTGCTTAAAAGAAACTGTCGATAAGAAACCTTTTCGACAAATAGTGTTGATAATAACGTGAAATAAAAGGTTGCGTTACATTCATCAAATTGAATAGTGTTACATTTTTTCGAACATTTACAATCCCAAATTTACAATCCCACACAATCACAAGGTATCGTGTTTTCACAATTCATACGTAGAAAAATTATTGGAATTAAATTTGGAAGTTTTTTTAAAGATCGGTGAAAAATGCAAGATTAAATTTGCAATTAAATCATAAAAACAGTTAACACTTTCAATTCGTTAAATGTTTGATAGAATACATGATTCCCCGCATTCCTGCTGTAGACAAAAAGAGATACAACAACTACTACTAATAATTGTTGTTCATGCTCTATTTCTTTCAAAAATCTTTCGAAGCATATACACAATGTCTGTCGATGTTCGTAAAGTTACTAGAAACACTTCTTACACCTACTTTTTTAATGCACATTTAGTTGTTGTTCCGTTTTGAAAAGTTCGATTCAGTTTCCCATTTACATGATTGTCATCTTATTTGCATTTGTACAAGCTTTGCATCGTTATAACAAGAAATAATTACCGGAAATATTTCTTACACGCTTTATGATCATTGACAGAATCGTATTGAGTCGAGGAACATATTTTGAAAGAAGCACAGTATCAACAACAGCATAATCGTGCACATATGTTTGATAATACTAGAAATTTGAGTGTGTCAATTAAAAGGTTATCATTGTTTTTCTTTTCATTAAACAGAACAGCTTATACATGCTACGGTTGTGAGATGGTTCGTAATTTATCGAATGATTGTAAGCAGTGTAGAATTGTCGAGAGAAAGGTACCGAAGAAGGACAGGAGCAGAACAAGAATCGATTATTAATACAGTATTGTCTAGGACAAGTTGCGGAGTTTACGGGGGTTTTTGCGTTTCATTTTCTGTTGCAACGAGCCCGCGAACACATAATCTACGCTCTACGTGAACTCCGAAACTCATCGACCTATTTGAAATATTTGCCCCGCGATAAATGTACACATGCCATAAAGACCTAGAATAGTATATCGAGAGAGAGAGACAGTATTATCTTTGGCAGAGTCAACGAACGGATCGACTTCACTAGTGAAGTCGTTATTCAACGATGTTTATCTTTGATTCCGGGATCAGAATAAGCGAAATATCTCGTTTTTATAAATCTATTTGTAAAATGAATGCAGAGAAGAACAGATTAAACCAGGAAAATTTTCTTTCGATTCAGCAGAAAGTCTGACGAACCGATTGTTTCGTTGACCTCAGTATGGCTTTAGATGTTCCGTTCACGATAATACCGTCGTAATAGGCGATAAGTATTTGCAATCGAGGAGGGCAGGACAGGATGATAGAATGAGTGGCGTAGAAAAATATAAAATTGCATAAATTGCAGGAATAGCATAAGTAGTTAAATTTCTCATATGCACTGTAATTGTCTTTGTCGTTTTTTTTACCTTGTTTCGTTAAATTTTTAGTTTGAATTGACTTCACCTTCGCGCGCGGTGTTCGTAGCAGATTTTCTATAAAGCTGATGCGTTTTATTGCGCACAACTACGTACGAACGATAACGTTTTTATTCTCTTGGAATGAGCCGACTTCATTCTTCGGATCAGTATCTCACGATGCACGTACCACGGTGGTCTCTGGAGTGGGACTATCGAAGTGCTCGAAGCAAGATGGAAACAGATCCGCGTCGTTTGCGTTCGCTGAGTTACATCGTGATCTACCGAATTTCATCGAAACTGAATTAGAAATTTCTGTCGAAACAGAAACGAGCATTATGATCGAATGGAGTACCTAAGTCGCGTTCACTGATTATTTTACCGCGAGTAGAAAAAACACAAGGACATTCTGTCACTGAAGTTTTAAAACATTTTACAATGCAACGATGCGTTATCATTATTTTCGAAGTTCTTTGTTTGAATGTGAACCAAGAAATTTTTGCAGTTTGGTCGTGATTTTAAAGGACTTGGAAATCATATTGTCCGCGTGTAACAACGTCGTTGAAAGTACGCGAAACCGTTCCTTTCGTTCACGACGAACAAAATGATCGTTATCCGAGATCGACGGATTACCTAAAGAGTCCCGGGTCTCGCTGTTTCTTTTGTTTTGTTTCGCTTCACAGTCGCAATTGTCTCGTTCGTTTTCCCCTTTTTGTTCGATGCCATGTTGAAAAATGACAATTAAGACGAAACGGTGCTTCCGCCAAGGTATAATGCACTTTAGGTTTTTCATTTTAAGCTTTATAAAATTCATCGACTCTTTCAACAAGGAAACTTATTATTTCGATTGTCATTGCTGCACTTTCAATTCGTGGAGAGTTTACGACGCTCTACTCTGCCATTCTCTTTCAATTCATTAAAAACCGTGCGAAAGATTACGGACCGTGTATTACTTAACGAGTAATATGGAACGTAAGAATGATCTTGGTCTTGGAATGAGTACAAACGAACCGAAGCGTTGAGATGGTCTGATTACTTGTTTCGTTCGCTCTGTCACATTCGCGAGAATTTTACGCGCGGGTTAATCTCATCTGCCTATATCATGATCCCAACAAACAAGAAGAGGAAGCAACGCGGCGTTCTTCTGATTTGTCTTTCTGCGAAGAGTTCCTTCGCGGCTGAATCTCAAAGGAAAACCAACACCTGTGTGTCGATGGTTCTTTTCTTCTTCTTCTTCTTTTTTTTTCTTTTTTAAAACAGCAAACGTGATCGATTTACAAAACTGTAGCGAAAAAATATACACGTAACGTTTTGTTCCTTCTATACATTATATCCAATAATATATATGTATATACACTTCTTATTATAATACATTTAAAAGATGGGTATTTGCGCAAGAACAAGTGCGCGTTATGCGAAGTATTGCGTGAATGGTTATAGGATACTTTCTCGTTTTAAAATTGACTGAAACAGTGGTAAGTTCGATCGAAGCACGTAAGAAGTGGAAAGAAGGATAGTGAAAGTTATTGCTTCGATTTACTTTTCAAGAGGAGCCGATGATATGTATCTAGCCTAATATAGAAGATTTATCAAAACGTGTAACCATAATTTCAGGGATGAATCAACCGCGCAGAAAAGACCCTCTGCTGCCGCATCGCGAATAGAATTCTATCTTAGAGATTATTCCACGAACGGAGCTAGCTTCGGCTTTCTTGTCGGAAGATCAACACCGCTTTATCGAGTGCTCGATACGCGAACAGTTCCGAACAGTAATCTAGCATGGTCTAGCTGCGGTGCAAGTCGTTGAAATTCAAGACTAACAGCGAACAATCAGGCCCTGAATTTATGCACGCATATTTTGATAGATCTATAGAACTATAATATGTATTTATATATGTATATAAGTAATGCAAGCGTTTTTTCGTGTACCTCGACCGCACGGCGTGCACGTCGGTACATAAATAGCGATTTCATGTTCGACGATCAATATTAACGCTATGAACCTCTCGAAAATGTCTTAGTGAGAGGTTGTATCTAGAAGAAATGTATAGAATAAATTCATAAGTTTTATGTAATCCAATGACAATCGTTTTGCTCAAGAGGAGAAATTACTTTTCTACTGTATCGACCTGGTTAGCAATACGCGTTTGGTCGAGCATCATCGCTAATAGACATCGGTCACCGATCTGTCTCTCGAACGAAAGTCGCAAGTGACGGTAGGTTGCCCTAATGAAATGTTCAACACCGTTTCCAAGATGAACATATTCGTCGGCCTCATCGTCTTGATCGGCTTGTAAAGTGGAAATCAGAGAACAATGGTTACCAACTGCAACGAAAAGATTCATATTAGCGATCCGATTAACGGATGAAGAGGAATTGCACGAGAATAGTAAAACGCGCGAATCAAGATTGCATAAGAGGGCTTGAACGTAGCTTTTTTTCTACCGTGTGGCCTTCGATAGAACCACGGTGTTAGAAGGGGAGGTTTGTTTCCCTACCATAAAATTTCTGTGACGCTAAAAGTTTATTTCCACGAGTTCCCGTGAGAGTTGCCAATGTTTCCACCGATGCTGGCCGATTTTTTAAATTATATCTGTATAAGCGTGGTATTTACTACGGCAGCGTTACTGTAGTGGGTACCGCGCACACAATAGAAACTCTCTCACCGATGGTACGAAAGTTTCATACAGCATCTGGCGGACTGTGTCAGAAGTAAACCATTAAGATCGCAGGAATAGATCTCTCCTTCTTACGGGGAACCAAACGTATCGTCCATTTTCTTCGATAGATGCTTTCTTGTCAAGTACTTGTCGAACGTTTCATTCAGGTTCGTGGTTGCCCGTGCACGTCAAGCTACATTAAGATTAATCATTCCTACGTAATTGAACGAACACGTAGATTAGTCGAACGAGACGTTAGATGTAAATAAAACTACCGAACACCTTTTCTAAGAATAAAGGGAGTAGTAGAATTTCGCAGGCGTGCCGGTAAGCTGTAGCGGAAACCACTACACGTAGAGTTGGAATATTCGAACGACTCCAATCGCTATATAAAACAATTTATCGGCGGTATATCGTACGGTTCGTACAATGTTCTTGTTTGAAAACCGATTACGTGTTATCCAATGTTAATCTACGAGCGAATTTAAAAAGACGGCGCGAATGCTACCTCTCTTTTCATCGAACTTCAAATCTCTTCCACCTTCAATCAACTCGAGTCATATTACATTGGTACAATAAGTCTCCTAGGCTCTTTTTTCCATCGTGGTATATTCAATCCGTTGCACATTGCAAAATGATTTTTAATGATTCTCAAGGACATGTTACATATACATATATACTGTATGTATATATATATATATAGATTTAAGTTTATATATATATATGGTAATTGATAACATTTATGATGTAACAGGTGTATATATATAAATTGATCGTATTCTATACAACGTGTGAGATTGTGCATTACGTAAAAAAGAGTCTTGCCTGTGCACGATCGGTTCAAAACAAATACGCAAGCACAATGGTAACATTTCTGTGGACAGGTGGTAAACAACGGTGTTGCTCTGTGTTCTCAGCAAACACGAACCTAAGCACCGACGTGTTCGCTTTTCAGGTTGGGGGGGGGTTGGAGCAAGCATAAAACAAACGTACACAACGACGGAAGTTTCTACCATACACAGATGAGTCGCCCTCACTTATCGGCATTACCCGCCTTGCAATTCGTTGTGTCATCATTTAACCCACGAAATCATCCTAGTACATATTTCGTCGTCGTTGTTCAAGTTCGAAACGAGCGAGAGTGCCTTCGTTGATCGATCTCGAACCATTGAAAAATCCCGTCGAATTTATTCTAGAGATTACGTTTATTACCATAAACATCAATTTTTACGATACTTGTCGGTAGCAGCATCGGTTTACGGCGCGAATGCAACTCCATCGAGCTCTCATATATATTTTCGTTTCATTTATCCGATGCCGATGTGCTAATGTAACTAGTGTGTAACGTAAAGCGTTGATCGTTGACGTTGGTTTCCTCGGTGTTCGAGGTGCGAGGAGGCACTCCATTTCTCGGATGAGCTGCACCGGTGTCTGTCCTCTGGATAAGCTGTCGACCCGCGAGTTTCCCTCGGTTTTCCTTCGGTTTCTCGCGCGCCGCCCCTCTAGAGCGTGTGTACGGAGCGCAGATTCGTATCGCGTCGATCGCACGAATCCTTCGGATGGGGTTTTATGTAATTCGGTGAATTCCACTCGAGGTCAGCCTTTCGGAAGACGACGACGGTCTTAGGCTCGTCGTTCTTCTTCGCCGCCGGCCCGTGAATGTTCGTGAACGAACGCGTTTCGACGAATTCGTCGGCAAACCGCGACAACAATTGCCATTCGTTTGTTTAGCCTTGTGCTGAGAGCCATTCGTATGCAAGGTATAGATGTGCTTGAGATTCTTTTCGAGGATGTTGCTCGGTCGTTTAGTACTGCATAAATATCTTTCGACGATGGGACATCACGGGGATGACTGGTCCAAAAGTATTGGAATTAGGGGGCTAGCATCTTTGACAGTTCCTCGTCTTGAAGGCAGCCCTTTAAGAATTCTTCTTGAGTCAGCTGGCCGTCGTTGTTCTCGTCCATTTTCGCGAAGATGTTCTTAGCCCTTTCTTCTGCACTGTCCGCTGGCCTGTTACTGGAACATGCTCCGAGCATGTCGTATATTGCCTGGAAGCAGAAAACGATTTATGGACTCATTAAATTTAGTCATTCGAGTAGAACGGTGTGCATAATTCCGCGCTTGCGAGGAAGAACGGCCGCACGTCACATGTTCTTACTTCCAAGATATTGTCGATTAACACTTTAATGACCGCTCACACAACATGTGTGTGATGCTATCGGACAAAGAAATTACCTTTCTATTTAATATAAATTGTGCCATATTTAACTCGTTTCGCATATATAAACATTTGAATACCGATCCCATTCGGAAATTAAATTACCACGATTTTTTACTTAAATTAGCAAGTGCGTGGATTAAAGCTAATGATGGTGATCCTGCTACATCTCGCGTCGCTCGTCCCGATACAGTTGAATTGATTAGTCGGAGGAAAAGAACATCAGTTAGTTAAAATATCAGTAATAAAAAAGGGTGTACCAAGGGGGATTGTCGTGTTTGCTGTGCGAATAAAATTAGAAAACCTACATATTTGATCTGCAGGTCTTGCTAAGTACTGTTACATGTAGGTGATTGCTTTAATAATTGTCACACAAAGAAAAAATATTAAATTTATTGTATTAAATGTGTTGTTATTGTTATTGTTTTTTTGTTTTATGTATATGTTCGCATATATTGAATTATTTCACGAATTTACATTATATTACAAGTTTTTTAAAATTAATTCTTCGAAAATATTGCCTGCCCCTGGCGACGTTTGACTGCGTAGACGTGCGGCCATTAAAGTGTTAAAAGTTCTGATCACTGATGCTTAGGATTAGTAAATCCTATATGCTACAGTTCAATTAATGCAATAACTGAAATTCATTGAAATTGTGACACGCGGCGTTTTGCCTTGCAGTCACAAAATCATAGACTCAGAGTAACTTTTACATTGTTACTGACATCTAAACGAACCTTAACAAAATATCATATTGTATATTTCTATTTTCTACTGTTTCTAATATTGAAATATACTACTACGATGCTCTGTTAAGTTTTCTTTTTAAATTATACAGAGGGTCTTAGCTGGAGTGCTGCAAATTAATTATAAACTCAAAATAACCTTTTCATTTTACAATATTTCCTTCGTCGCAATCAAAGAAGATCTTTCAGGAGTTACACTGGAGAGAGACACCCCGGTTCGCGTGTTCTGAGTGGCTTCACATTTTCGGCAACCCTCTATGTGTTTACGATGAAAATTCAATAACGGAAATACGCGTTCCCAATGGCCAATCAGACCCGCATTCCTTCCGCTGTGCTAACTTCTCATCTTTACACAGTGCCACGTAGAGATGTAAAGTTACGTACAGAAGGAATGCGGGTTCAATTGGCTAATTTGGCGCACGTATTTTCGTCGTGAACGGAATCAGCAATATGTGCGATGAAATTACTCAATTGTTTTCCCCTTAGGTCTCTCAATTCTATAAATGTTTTTTATTTGCACATTACAAATTGTAATTATTAACCAGTGGATTTTATATATTTATGACAAAAATGAGTGGGTGCAATTTAAATTTTAGAGCATGACAAAAGTTCGAGTGACTAAGGAACATTGATATACTATTTTCAACTTGTTAAACAGTTTAAAGAAAAGAAAGGAAAGTAATAGAGTAGTGGAGCCGGTTATTGTAAGGTAACCAATTACTGTGTTCTTGATTTATTTTCAGGCATACGTAACTTTATATTCATCGAATAAGGTATATTAAATATTTTTATCCAAAAATAAACGGAATAAAAGAATAATAAAGTTAATTGTGCCTAGAAACAAGCCAAAAGCATGGCAATTGTTCACCCTATAGTAATCGGTTCCATTACCCTAATTATGTTCGTTCATCAACGCCTCGGAGTAACAAAAGAAATGCGTTTCTAGAACAAACTTATAATTGATTTCATACAAGTGAATTAAATTATTTTATACACAATTGTTTCCCAAGTAAACTGCAACGAATTCACAATATCGCAATTCCCGAGGTGCAACATAAATCTCGTTTGAATAAAACTTGATTCTGATTGTAGGTATGTTTACGGTAAGAAAAAAATCATTATATTGATTGCAACGGGAATGGTCGCACTAGAGCTGGGATCAACGCACGCTGCACTCGCGAGAATGTGCACGATCTCTTTCCAGAATCTTTTGCGTGACTGTACTCCGAGTAGAGACGACCATGTAGAGACAAATGGCGGAAGTGTTGAACTTTAGCAACAGAAATTTGTCATCCGTTAACATGGACAAAATGTAGCACTGAATAAACAAGCAATTCAAGTTTCTCTGTTTACAGTGGTCCATAAAAGTGTTCGTACACTTCTTAAAACGCAATAACTCTCTTAAAATTGAACTAAATGACTTGAATTTTTTTTATATGACAGAGGGATTAGTCTTCCAGACGATGACTAAAAAGCTTTCTTTTTAATTTTGCTATTACTTGGAATGAAAAGAAACAATTGAAAACCTTCGTTTTTTAACTTTTTTATCTGAGCCTATAATGAAAATTTAAAAAATGCCTTTTGTAAACTTCAGTAGCTTACATGCGTGCTGAAGATTTGATCGAATTCGATTAACTCGGTCGAGCTACAGGTGTTGAAGGATTTTCAAAACTGTAGATTTCTTACAGTTTTTGGTCAAAATCGTGCGATTTTTGCGATCTTTAATTTGTTGTAGTTCATAACAACGTGAACCGATGTAGATAGAATTTTCAACATGCATATAAGATATCACGATCTACGAAAGACATGTTTTAAATTTTCGTTATATGCTAAGATAAAAAATTAAAAAATCGAGATTTTTACTTTTTTGGCATTCCAAGTAATAGCAAAATTAAAAAAAAATCATTTCAGTCATCGTCTAGTAGACTAGTTCCTCCATCATCTAAAAGAAATTCGAGTAATTTAGTTCAGTTTTAAAATAGTTATTGCCTTTTGAAAGATGTACGAACACTTTTGTAACACTTTTGAGCCATTGTATGTAACAATATTATGAAAAGTTATATTTCGTTGATTCGAATTACGCTTCATTTTCAAAAGCAATATTTTTCGATTAAATATAAGGAAACATCGAACAACTTTTGTATCAGTATCCGTGAGATTTGAAAAATGGGTGTTTGAATCGGCCTTCGGTATTCCTATCAACATTTCCTGTTCTCTTTTTTTTCTTTTGTCTAGTAACAGTGAATTATAGTCATGATATTATTCTCACTGGATCGCGAATTTTATGAATTTATGACAAAAATGGCTAGGAGTGATTTAACCTGATGTGACGAAATATTTTGTTAAATACAGTACATCGGAAATATTTGATTTATATATTTTCTAAATGTGTCATAAAATATTTTGTCAAAATAAATAATGAGTGAAAAGCGATTTTTTAAATTACTTATTAAGTGTGATAATATAATTTCTTACTGAATAAAAGTTAAGTTTTCTTGATTAAAAATGAATTCCCCGGTTAACAGGTTAAAACAGTAAAACGATTAAAAGAATGTAAGAGTGTTACACTTATCTTATTGAAATCTTTATAGAAAGAGCGAAATTTTGATGTAACTCTTATTTCTTACGATCGATGGATACAATTTTTATTTTGCATAAAAATTTGCAATCTACTTATCTGCATATAATCTACATATAATAATTAAACATTTGTAGTTGGTATTTATTCAGTCTTAATTTTTCAGTCATTTAGTTATTGCTTTTAAAAAATCAGGTTATTTATCATATTAAATTTGTCAATAAGAATAGCAATTTCGATTATCAGTGAACAAAATACTTTGAGTGATAAAATCAAATAGATTTGCTTAAATTGTTACACGAGACAATATTCCAAAGCTTCTTTTTACAGTGAAAAGGTGAATTTGATTTGTGAACGAGTGGATTTAATCTACAAAGAGATAAATTTGATTTAAGAAAAGTTCAACATAATTTGCAAATAGATAAATTTGGAGTATAAAATTTGTATAAACGTTTATTTACGTAAACCGAGAATCGTTTTTTATAAAATTAATAGCTATCGAAGTAGTGTCAATACAAAATGCCTTCTGCAACGTCTTGTCCATAATGAGTCGACAGTGGAGCGATCGGTCATTACTGCGACATACACATAATTGCTATACGTTTGCATATTATATATATAATAATTCTTATTAAATATACGACTGCATATGTACAGTAAATTCTTCCTAATTCGCGCTCAGATTGTGCACAAAAATGGACAATCTAAACGTGAATTAGGGAGAATTTACTGTATTTGGCAGAAGACACGAATCAGTGACATCATTTCTTAATGATTTACTAATATAGCAAACATGCTTTAAAAGACACATCTGATGTGTTGTAAAAAGGTGATTAGTTTATTTCGTTAAACTATATTGACATTCGCCTCGGCTTAACAAGTTCCTCAGACCCTATTCAAGTAGCTGTAATTAATTGCTCGCTCGTTCCTCAAGATAACTTTAACAAATTCTTAATGTTCTATGGCGCGAGTTTGAACTAGCTTCTTAACCGATCCTTGAGATAATGGTCTTAACTAATTTCTTAGTATCACTTCGAGGCAGTGTTAATCGCATCATTCAAGTATTGGAACTCTCCTTTAACTAAAGCTTGCGATGTCTCAGTGTTAGTGTCAGCGTTAACGACTGTGTCAGGCGTGATCACATTTAACAGTCATCCTAATAGTATTGGTCTATGCTGTGACCTACGTACGTTAGTAGCAGTGTACGGTTACAAGCGAGATGTAAATGTACTACGCTATTAAATACATAATTTACTTGCTATGTGTATTATTTTTAATATTTATTTGTATTAACGAGTCTCAACTAGGTTACAGCACAGCATACCAAGACTACTTAATATCTTTAGTTTTTGTAACATGTTTATTCCAAGAAAATTTAAACCTAATAATATTTAGACTACTTAACCCTTTGCACTCGAGTGGTGACCCTCAGGCGCCACTAAAATTGTTATATCACGTTCCAAGATATTTTTTGTACTAACAAAGTTTAGATTTAAAAAAATTGCTAAAAGTGTAACTGTTGTAGAGATCACCACAAGACACAGTTTCATATGCATAAAATGCACTTTCTCATATAAGTCAGAGAAATTATTTATGATTTACAGTTAAAATGGCTTCGAGTGCAAAGTTAATATCTTTAGTTTTTGTATAACATGTTTATTTCAAGAAAATTTAAACCTAATAATATTTAACATTTAACATTTATATATGATCGTATATTCCTATATGAATCTTATTTTAAATTATTAGTACTTATTATTTATAATAAATAGAAAGGATTTCTCTAGAAACAGTTACTGCTGTATATTTATAATAATCGCGCAAATTTAAAAGTGATACTATTGAAGACAAATGTATATATTCTTTTACAATATTATAATAACCGAATATCTTCGATTATTTAAGCAAAGTATATTGTTTAATTATCGGTAATGATGTTTTGAAAAAGTACAAGGTTTTTGGAAAGATCGAAAGTATTTATATCAGAATGTTGCTCGTATTTCATAAAAGATACAAATAATCGAGTTCGTTATTATTTGATCTTAGAA